CAATTACAGAAGATAATTATAATTATTTAATTGGGGAGGAGTGTACAACAAAAGATGTCACAAAATTCTATGCGTAAATTAGTGAACACAATCATATCCTAACGAAATTAGGTTGGTGATTTTTATGATTCATTTCATAAATTACAGTTGAGAGGATTAGAAGCTTAGAAGATTATAGTCCACCAATATTTAAGATAATACCAGTCGCAATTTTTCCATGGAATTATTGCATACAAGTCTAAACAAGCCTTACTTAACAATTATCTATTTGAACGAGCCATCAGCGAGACTGATCTGAAGTGCTTTGAACGTTTTTACAGTAATGCAAAGTTCCTACATAATATTGTGAACCAAATATACCACTACTATCTTATGTATCATTACTCGGTTCAACCAACGTTCACTCTCCTTCAGCATCCAGGTTTCCAATAACATAATTCTCCACTTTGACTATCGGAACAAACTTTAGCAATGTATGCATAGCAAAAAATCTCAACGTTTTCTCTCTTGTCGTACATCCCAACTTTCGTCTGGCTGTATACAATTTCAACATTAAGCAATACAGAGGATGAATTGCTAAAAAGTGAACGTGGGCAACCTTGAATAGCTCTGAAACGGGTTAGAGTTATGATTCCAAATTTTGAGCATAGTTGCACGTGTCCCTTAGCCCGAAGTGTGCAAAAAATCAGCTCTCTAGTTTCGAAACCCACCCTTCGACTGACCTCAGAGTAAGAGGGTGGCATAAAACTGTTTTCCAAAGATGAATTTTCGAACGTTGTAGATAATCTAAGTTGTAGATAAATTAACACTCACAAAATTTAGCATATAATATTCCCCAGTGTCTATAGTATTAAACACGGTTGGAATTTAGAAAAAAATAACCGGCTAGAGGTCCAGAGAGAAAGTTACCCCTCAGGAAAGCGCCATCGTTTTGAAGCGCCAGTTTCTTTTAGAAAATAGCCATAACCAGGATGGAATCGAAAAATTGAAGTGCATAAGCAGTTTGTATTGTACTAAGGCATATCTCCACCAACTGTTGAAACAAAAAAAACACGCAAAAAATTTTAACCATTGTCGCGAAAAAAAAATCAAGTTTATCATTTTTGAAACTTGTTTCTCATTTTTTTACAAAGCGATGTGGTATGCAAAGAGATTGAAAAATAAATGTGGACTTTTAGAAATTTTTGAAAGCTAGATACATGCCACGAACATTCATACCACTCGTATCAAATTCTGTGCACAACAAACAATTTGACAGAATTTTAAAGATAAATCAGAACACAAAAATTATGCAGTTTTGGAAACTTTTTTTCGACCTTTTTTTGGATGCAAATATCTCAGGGGTTGTTGCGACTATCCAATTAAAATTTTAATCCAATAATATAGACTATACCGTCTTCCAATCCTCACAATTTCAAGTTGAAATTTTAAATAGAGGGAAAGATACTAACGCTCATCCAGCGTTCACTTTTTAGCAATTCATCCTCTGTATTTCTTGACGTATTGTATTGCAGGGTAAAATAAGTGATGCACTAATAGTAATAAATGGCATGAGCACATATGCATGTAGGCTGGACGTTGTGGGGATAATGATCTCATGAAGCACACTACTGGCTAACCTTGATTGATTTTTTGTCCACAATTTAACGAAACCTGCCACTTGTGTCAAGCCTGTTCATGCCTGACTTGTATAAATACTCTGCTGTTAAACATCTGATCTGCAGGAGAGCAACAGAAACAAATATATGTCTCAAGTGCAAAATTTCTCAAGTATTTCTTAAAAAAATTGCAACATGAGTTCCCAGGAAACTTATAAACTCACGTATTTTACTCATCGTGGCATGGCGGAACCAATAAGGCTAATGTTTGCCTACGCCGGTGTTCAGTATACGGACGAGAGGTTGAAAAACGACGAAACTTATCCAGCTAAAAAAGCTAGTAAGGACATAAAAATATTTCCATGTACACTCTAAATTAATTTTAGTAAAATTTGCAATGACACAACAAGTGAGTAAAATTTAATCAATATTGAGGGATTAATGTAGAACACTGATCCTGAGTAAATTGTGCTCAATGTTGGATAAATTCTACTCAAAGATTGCGTTATCTCAAATTTTACTCAATCTTGAGGGAATTTTACCCAACTCTGAGTAAATTTGGGCAAATTTTTTTACAGCGTAGAGATAAGTAATGCAAGTTTTAATACGAATCTTTTGCAGCGTTTCCCTGGGGAACAATGCCAGTTTTGGAGGTATGTCCAGGCCAGTCTGAGCCTAAGTTCGTACTCGCACAGGTCGCTGCGATTGGAAGGTACCTTGCAAAACGGTTCAATCTGGATGCCAAGACGGAAGAAGATGCCGCAAAGTGTGACGAGTATGTGGACGCCTTGAAAGACTTTGGGCAAGGTTGGTACATCAGATGGATAGAATTTGGTTACGTCAAATTTTGCCTTTGATTTTGAAAATTTTTCGTTATCATTAGTGGAAATCATTACGGATTTGCGTACACTCTAATCAAATTTCACTAAAATTTACTCTGGTTGAGTAAAATTCACCCAAGGTTGAAAAAAATTTGAGATGACACAATCCTTGAGTACAACTTGTCCAACACTGAGTACAACTTACTCAATATTGTACATTAATTTCAGAATATTGAGTAAAATTTACCAAATTGTTGCCTCATCTCAAATTTTACTCAACTTTATTCAGAGTATAGAGTTGGCACAATTTGATTGCGGAAGAAATTACTTATCCTGAAATTTGCGAATCTCCTACTTAAGGCAGGCATAATTTTGCAATTCGTTTATCAAAACTGAATTGCTGTGCTATGTTACGAATTCGTAGTTATATTTTCCTAGAAGGAATAAAAATGCAGAAACTAATGAAAATAAATGCTTTTCTATCCGAGAGGATTTTTCGACGTGTTCGTCCGTTTCGCCGATGCAGATGAAGCTCTAAAATCGAGGATAATGTCAGACTTAAAGGAAAAACAGGCTCCCAAGTACTTTGGAAAATTTGAAGATATCGCTTCCAAAGTCCGGCTGGTTAGTCGGGAACAGTATAACTTGGACGGATATCTTTGCTGCGAATCATCTCTCAAATTGGGCCAAGTTTTTAGCCGATGGGAATCCCCACGCGTTGAGTGAGAATTACCCCAATTTGGGAAAATTGGTGGACAGAGTTTTTGCACAGGAAGGAATTGCAAAATGGATCAAGGAAAGACCGGACACTCCATATTAGCCAAGTTTTCAGACATGTTACCGTTTTGTACACTCTAAATAAAGTTGAGTAAAATTTGAGATGACAAAACAACTGAGTAAGAGTTCCTCAATATTGTGGGATTAATGTACAACACTGAGTAAATTGGGCTAAATGTCTGAAAAATTTTACTCAACTGTGAGTTAATTTTAGTGAAATATATTCAGAGTGCATGTAAGAACAATATGGTAATGTTAATATATACAGTTTGTTGGGAAACATCAGCTTCAAACGGTTTCATTTTTATTTCATATCACATGCATATATGGATCTACATACCTATGTATAAGGCAGTGTGCATTATATATTATGCATATTGTAATGTGTACTGTTCGACTCCTTTGCAGTTTCCGATGTGAAATTGTGTAATGTGTGTGATATTTTACGTACATCTAAAAAGCACGACAAGTCAATCAACAAAACTTATATAATGTGTACCAGGTCATGCATACATAGGTCACATGAATCATGTGACATGATGTGCTGACCCAGGTCATAGGCTAATTCGAAATTTACGGGATATGTGTTCTGGATATCCACGCTTGCTTACTACCCACCATCCGGTCTGACTTGCAGGTACACCCTCCTCAAAAACCACTCCCACCGGTAACCCCAGAAACACCAACTACCCCACCACATACGTCCAAATATTCACCATTTCATTATTCCACTCTAACCCAGAGGCAAGGTTATTCCCTCAGTTGGGAGACATCCTTCCTGCAACCATCCGTGATAAATGAATTTCAGGTATGGTGGGGCCGACGTGCAGGGAACCAGAGTGAGTGGACTGGAGGGGGGAGTTCTAACCTTCTCGACATTTTGGGGACTCTCAACCGTGTCGTTGTTACTTTCTTGGTGTTGCGGAGGCATTTTTGTAGGCGTATTTTAAAATAAAATTTATTTGCAGGGAATATTTCGCCTAGCCCTATACAAATGTATGTGGTACGAGGAAAATATTTGCAAACACACATATGTACAGCCAACTTCACAATGACTGAAGGAGGGCGAGGAGAAAGTTGTGCAATATTGATGAGCCGTAAGGTCTCACTTCATGCATAATTCAGAGCTGGTGGAAGTCAAATTTTCGAGAAGATGGGCACACGCAATTTATGAAGGAATCGGATTCCCCTACAATTTTTAATAACTTATCAATTTTGACTCGACACGTCTGCCCCATTTCTCAGAGTGTGGTAACACACTCTATACAAAAGCAGAGTAAAATTTGGGATGACACAACGAGTGAGTAAAATCTGTCCAACGTTGTCGCATATTTGATAAACCTGACGTAAATTTTGATCAACAACGGGTAAATTTTACTCAACTGGTTGTGTGACACAACCAGTTGAGTAAAATTTGAGGGGACGCAAGCTGAGTGGTCTCAAATTTTACTCAACTTTGACTAAAATTCTGTCAAATTTATTTAGAGTGCATGTATCAGTATCCTTATATCTTGGTAATTATCTAACCGACTCAATTCCTCCACTCCACATGGACGAGATACAGCGATTTCACCCTATCAATATTTAAACGGGCATTAAACCAATCGATTTTCTCAGGAAATTATGAACCGATGCATGGAAAATTGGCATGTCAATTTTTACAACTTTTCCAGAAAATCGTATCAATTCATAATGATGGTATTTCACTCTTAATTCTGTCATGATCCATTTTCTTTCTGCAAATTTTGTCCAATGCGACAACCCAACGTCCCTGTGTCAAAACCCTTCAGTCGAAGACCAACCGAATTATGATACGTATATTCCCACGTATGTATGGATGTGATTATGAGGAATGGAAACCTCTGATGATTCACACTTTTTGCGTAAATCTAATTAATTTCATGCCACAAGGAAATTTATTATCTCAAATACTTCCTAAGTTACAATTTGTAGGTTACAAATTTCGCAGAATGATAATCATATCTAAATACACATATTAGTGCAAGTTCCCTATGATGAGTGAATGATTTTATTAACTTTAGTCAATGATTAAGTAGGAACATGGTAATACCCTATCGTTACAAGGCTTAGCAAAACCTTACATTTGGCAGTTACCCACATAATTATTTTACTCTCACCTCATCTACCCCAACTTCCTCGTTGTCCTTCTCCTCCCGCCAACCATCTTGGCCTCGTGAATCTGATTATACTTGGCAATCGCCGTGAGCGGAAAGTACTTCGGGTAGCCAAAATATTTAATATACATGATATTCGGAATTCCTACTCCAGTCATGACACTCTCATCCCAATAACCGTTCTCCTGCTTCTGTTTTCTTAAAAGGTACCGAAGTCCCCTCTGCACCACGGGACTGTCCTCTTCTCCCACGTCCAACAGACCCAGGAGTACCAATGCCGTTTGAGATGCCGAACTATTTCCATGGACAAACTTGTCAACGTTTATTTCATACGAAGTCACGCTTTCCCCCCAACCACCGTCCTCATTTTGCACGCTTTTCAGCCACTCGATCGCCCTCTGGACGGCTGCCCCGGCATGGTATTTGGCGCCAACTTCGGCTAAACCCCACAAGGCGAGATGCGTCCCGTAAAGATGGTTCATCCCCCATCTTCCCCACCACGAACCGTCCGGGCGTTGTCGGGCTAAAATAAATTTCACCCCGTTCTCTATTGCGGCCTGTAGTGAGGGGAAATCCGCGGCGATGGATGGATTCCTGCTAGCATGGGCGAGGGCGACCAGGCATCTCCCTGTGATGTCGACGGTGGGCGCGTCCAGGAGCACGGCGGGATATTCGGCAACAAAGGGAAGATTTTCTAAGTAATAGTGAATATTGTCTGCTTCAAAGGCACCCCATCCTCCGTTTACACTCTGCATTCCAAGAATCCATTCGACCCCGCGGGAAATGGGGATGGTGTACTTGGTTATGTCAGGGAAATGGTTCTGAAAGAGGAACAAGGTTATATTAAAGTGTGTACGTTAAATTTTGCATAAACTTCTATGCTAAATTTAAGGTTAACGTTAGCGTTTACGTCGAAGAACCTTAATTCACCATCTACCCATTACTGGGCAATCCTAACCTGGCGTTTTTTTTACACAAATATACGACTTTTTACAATAAAATCGTGTACGTGAGCTCAGACTTTTCAATTTTACGCGGATGGGGGGTGGGGGGAACTGAGAAACAACTGTACGTAATACAAATTCTTATCGATGCAGTAGTATCTCATTTCCCCCCTCTATCCGAGTAAAACTCAAAAAATCTGAGATCTGAAAATCTGAAATCTGAGAACATAAACGAATTCCTTGTAAAAAATCGTATATTTATGTAAACGCAAGGTTAGGATTGCCCAGTAATAATTACTAAATGTACATGATTGATATAAAGTTGGCACTAACCTGGTATCGTATCATTGAAATAACCGTAGAAGAGGTGTCATCCAGATCCGGGAAGTGTGGATTCCCTAATTGAAAAGCCCACCCACCTGGCCGCAACAGTGGTCTCTTTCCACCCCAGTGACCCCTCAAACTTACCACCTGCTGCGTTACTAGCCAATCCAGCCCCCTCTCAATTCCAACCATGCTAGCGTTGTCAATCTTATGCGATTCCATCAAAGTCCTCACGATAAAGGCCGTGTCCCAAACGGAGGACTCAAACAGTGTCGACGTGGCTTCCTCCATTCCTTCAATTTCTCTCAATCTCAGCGCTTCTCTGGCCTCTCGTGCCTTCAAACTGTCCCTCAAACCAAGTTTATGATACATAATTAGCAAAATTTCTGTCGTCGTGCCGGTTCCGAACAGTCCCCCGACCGGGTTTGTCATATCGTCCAACTCTTTCACCACCCTATTAATCGTCCACTCCCTCACGGCACGCGGCACTAGTTTATCCACCACTTCAAATAATGGGATGACTCGTCTGAATACAGCGTGCAAATAAGGATTCTGAAACCGTCCAATGAGCGAATCCTCCAAAACGTGATCTTTGTTGATGAATATCTCGTCAAAATCCGTTACGACGGGAGACTTCTCGGCTAAATCTACACTTCTGGAGACCATCATGATCATAAATCCCAATCTGACATAACTTCCGACACTGTAGGAGCTAAGGGGAGCCCATGCTGGGATGAGCAGAGCTTCCAGCGAGACGGGTGGAATGGCTTGCCAAGATATAATTCTGGTCATGGCGGAATAAAGTTTTAACAGGATGTTCATCCGCTCAGCCCCGCCGTGGCGTAGGATCCGGTCACGGGCACGCGTGAGAAAGGATGAATTTCTAGCTAGGCCCATCTGCCTCAGGGCAATGTATGCCTTCACACTTTCACTGAGATCGAATTTATCCTCGTCCGGGACGATAGACCACCCGCCGTGGGTTAATTCTCTCCTGGTGAGGTAGGTGATGACCTTTTGCTCAAACTCGGGACGGGGAGGTTCCCCTATGAAACGGAGGGTCATAATGAGCAGAGTGATGTCGAAGGTGTGCACGTCCGTGCCATAGTTCCAGTGGGGTTTTGGTCGGCGAGGAAGGATTCCGTGCCACGGACGAGGGCGGTGTGAAGGGGGATATCTATGAGGGATGGGGAGAGGGAGGTGTCCCAAGTAAGTTGACTCATTATTATTCCTGCCGTATGGTTGATTATGACAAGCTTTCACCGCACCGTGAAGTTTTCTACACTTGTACGAATATCCTGTTACAGCGGCGGTTTGTAAATACCTACAAATAAACGGATCATACATATGAGAAGGCTGGTAATTTAATGGCATTGTTGTGACGGTGACTGTTAGAAATTTTGGTAGAAAATATGTTTGCAAACTTGCACATCAAAAATAAAAGCAAAAGAGCTCTGGCAAAAAAGTTTTGCAAAACCGGAACGGAACTGAAACGGAAAATCGGAACTGGATAATTTTACACTCTGTCTCAGAAAGAAGAGATAGTTTTAGAAAATGCTCTTATTTTTTAATGGATTTGTCCTGGGGCCCAAAGTTTTATTATATTATGGTTAAGGTATTGCCACATGTTTACACCAAGTTGCATTCAAATTTGATTCAAATCACAAAATTTATGGACAATTACAAAAAATTAATCAAATTTGAGTGTCTCAAAAGTACGAGATAGGACGTTTTAAATTAATTTAATCTGCATGAATATTAGTTTTTAATTGCATCCAAATTTTTATTTAAAAAACGCCCTATCTCTTATTTTTGAGACAGTTCAATATGACTAATTTTGAGAGAATGTTCAACCTAAAGGCAGGTTTAGCCGAATTCCAATGAAACTTTGTGGAGACATGTGGCAGTAAATTAGCTATAATATAATAGATCTTCATGGCCCAGGACAAACATATTACTAAATGAGGGCATTTTCAATTTCCATCTCTTACATTTGAGACAGAGTGTACGTCGCCAGTGAAACAATTGTTTGGGGTTTTAAACGGTGCCAGGTTTTCTATAAGAAATGCATACAAAACCTTCTTTACGTCTGCAAGGGAACGTTCATAAAATACGTGACGCAAGTAGGGGGATGCAGGGGTGTAAGGTCGCCTATCTACACGATGTTAAAATTCCTATCCCGTATGGGGAATGGAGGGTCTGTGGGTCATAAAATCTCGATTTTTGCATTACGCATTTTATGCATGAACAGCCCCAAAATAAAGATTAAGAAATTCAACAGAAAAAATTAAAACGTACCTATTTATGTAGTAGAGTCAATGTTTTATTATGGATGAATTAAGAGATCTCCTCTCTCATAATTTGAAAATGTGACTGGTCATGGTCAATCCCACCTCGTTACATTTATACGTGTTTCACGCAGTAAAAAATTGTTATTTTGGACACCAAAATTTGTTGAGTACGTCATATTTTCGTCTAATTAAAATACTTTGTTGGATAAAGGTACATGTAGATAATAACCTGTCTGGATTATTCCACTGGATGCATCGTATGGCAATGAGTGTCAGCCAGTATAAATAAAATCATAAACAAGTTGCATTGTTACATGACCCGTCTCACGTAGGTAGACAAGACCATGGTCACATAATGCGAGAGATTTGTGTGACTGCTTAAAACGGAGAAGCAGCTTTGATATAATATTCCATCAACTTATTGAAACAACACTGCCAACAAAGAACCAAACCAGTTTTTACTTACTACAGGGTCACGACGGTTGCTGGAAAGAAGGTTGATGATATTGTACATTCTTGCCTGCTTTTTACTTCTTGTGTGTAAAATGTAACTGCGGTGGAGTGGGCAATGGCCGGACTGTGATTAAATACTGCAATGTAAAAATCAGCGTGTATAAAAAACTTCCGGGTTTCTGCAGGTTTCTGCCCATTTCGGCAGAAGATTTCGTCACAATTAATTCTGCATAATTTTGTGTGCATATTTATGCTCTGTATAAACCGTTATACATAAAATTCTGCACAGATTGCTACGGGAATATGCGGCACATATTTCATGTGTTATGCAGAAATATGGGCCAATTTTATGCAGAAAGATATTTTCTCGGGAGATTTTTGTAAATATATTTACAAAAATATATCACAAATAATATTTGTGATACATCCAGTGTGATTCTTGTGATTGAATCATCACCATCCAACCATATTGCACAGTTAACATATATGTACTGTCCATTCGCACAGGATTGAAGCGTGGCTAAATCTAGCTCCAGAAGTAAACCCGGTTTTTAACATTGCTCAGTATTTAGCCGCGGCTCAATCCTGTGCGAAAGGACAGTAGGTACATACGCCGCTAGTTGGCGACTACGAAAACCACAAAAATCACAGTAAATATTTTGTGTATCAACATGATTTTAGAAATACCGCATATGCGGATATATCAAAATAATCCGGTAACACCTATTAGGTGACTTTATACAACTCACCGCCATGCTAATAAGTTTGTAACCGTGCAGTCGTAAATGTATTACCAAGTTCGTAATAAACGCCACCGCGGGGTAACTCATATTCCCAACTTGGTAATAAATTTACTACCTGCGGTAACACATTTATTACCATGGCGGTAGAGTCACATATGTATAATCACCGCCGGTAAATCGCTTATTACCGAATTATTTTGAGTATAGAAATGCAAAACTATAAATATTTCAAGCAAAGCTGCAATTCCAGTGGCGAGACTTGGGGTAGGCAGGGCAAATTGGGGCCCCCGATCCCGTGGGCTGTGCCCCATCGGCTGTGTTAGGTACAAATAATCTGGTTAATTTTTGGAAAATCTATGAAATTGAATTTAGTACTATTAATTTTTGTTTATTAAATAGCGTAAGCTACTTTATGTGATCGGTTAGTTAGTCTGTCTGTCCGTCTGTCCGTCTGTCTGTCTGTCCGTCTATCAACACTAAAACTCTAGAACGGTTTGTCGCAGCGACCTGAAATTTTTAACACATGTTCATCACGGGGGTTGGGTGACACCCTATTAAGGGGGTGTGGCCACTTTGTCGACATCATGTCGAAAAACGTGGCCAAGCCCTAATATCGGCATTTTTTTGGGCGATTGGCATGAAATTTGGGCAAAACATGTTTTTTGGTATTGTCGACATGTCGCATTATGGAGATTAAGGTTTCGACACTTTTTTCGACATGCTTTGTCGGCATGGCCTAATTTCAGCATTTTTTGGGCGATTGGCATGAAATTTGGGGGAAACATGTTTTTTGGTGTTATCGACATGTCGCAATATGGCGATTAAGGTTTCGACGGCAAATTTGGTCGTCATGCCCTAATTACGGCGTTGTGCGGTCGATACACTCTCAATAATTTTTTGACAATATTGTTACCGGCTGTAGGTACTATGCAATTCTACCGCGTGGTAACATTATAGTAACAAATTGTCTTCTGTGGGTAACAAATTGCCTCCGATTTTGTTACCCGAGCGGACACAATGGGGGCTGAGCGGGATTTAGCCTCTGTGTATATGTTACCCTTCGGTGATAAATTATTACCGAAGTGGTAGAATTGCATAGTACCTACAGCCGGTGACAATATTGACAAAAATTATTGAGAGTGTATGCATGAAATTTGGCAACAATAAAAAACAATAAAAAAGTTCCCAAGTTATCAGAAAGTTTAGGAAAATAAAATTCGGAAAATCGATTTGCAAAGTTGGGCATATGCGGGTTTGATGCGATGTGCTAGACAAATCGTAGTAAATACCCTCAACACCGGAAACTAAATTATTAAATCAAACAATTAAGCTGATCATACGTATTGCAAATATTTTAATTTTTGTGTTTCACTAGATATGAGGGCGTTTGGGAAATACACTAACATGCCGTTGTACTAATTATAAATAGTCCTATGTGCAGTAGACGGATAATTTGTAAAAGGCCTATGTGCAGTCGATCCTTAATTTGTAAAAGTCCTATGTGCACAAGAATAACATGCAAATAAACTGTGCATACGACTTTTTAAAATTAAGCATCGCCTGCACATAGGACTTTTTAGAATTAGTACGACGACATGTTAGTACGACGATGTGTGATGGCCGCGACCTTTTTGACTTTGGGGGTTCCATAAATGTAAGAGACTCAAGATTAATTTGTAGATCTAATAATTAACTACATGATACTACAGTGACCAGACAATAGTTTAAATCCGAAACCATGCTCTCAGTACCACTGATGATACCTCCTATGCACCAATTCATAAGTTATTTTGCATATTCAAAGACATTTTATTCTAGTGTATTAATCCGAAAACGAATTTGAATTATCATGGCAGGTTTTTGTGAAAATTTAGAATAAGTGGGCGATTCATCAAACTCTGCCTGCTATTTGATGGATAAGAAACCACAAAAAAATAAATTAACACAAACTGAAAGTGGCGAAGATTTATATGAAATACAGAGTGACGACGACGACATGTTGATACCGTTAAGTAAATCGCACTCAATTTCCCACACTGCAAAGAAAATTCGACGAGTAATTAAGCCACAAAACAAGAATAAATCAAGTAGTTCCGCCAAAAAGTTGGTATGGGGGCGATAAAGAAAAGAAAGTGCGGCAAAAGAAAGCAGTCCAGTGTGCAGAGAAAGTTGATCAGACAGACGAAGAGCAAGAAGTCCAAAAATAAATCTCAAGTTTAGTACGACTCATTGTGCAGCAGCACAAGAGAATAAGCAGCAGAAAATGTAAATAAGTAATAATACGTATGAAATATTGTCTAGTAATTCTAATTTTAAAAGAGATGATTGTGATTGTAATTAAAGTTGAGTCACTTTAATTTCAAGTATTTGTGGGTGAATACTCTCCACAAATTTCACTCACCGAAAATTACTCTTCAGCTAATTTATTTTAATAGAGATGAAAAATTTTATATAAATAATATACTTACAAAGTAATTGTAATTCACAACAATACTGACACAAAAAACATTTATCTGTAACATTCACATTGTTAAATTGAGTATGTAAATGAAAACGAGCATTGCAATATAATATTGTCAATTTTAATCCATCTGGACTATTTATTTGTTAAAATTGTTAAGTTAACTTGGAGAAGGAAGGATTCTCTCCTTTGACAATTGGAGTTTTTTCATCCAAACCCACCAATTTCACTTCAACGTAAATGCAAAATACATTTTTAACACAATTCGCACATGAGCAGAAATACAAATGAAGTCGTGCCAAATTTAACATGTCGATTTCCAATTATATTTTTATTTCACATACTAAAATTATTTGCAAGATCTGCTAATTCCAACCCTCATACCCACCAAACTATGCAAAAAGTTCATGCTCGTAAAAAAATGTCGCATAATTACTCACATACAGTCCATATGCAAGCAAGATGTACGATAATAATCTCATTTGTGCACGCAAAAATAAATTTGCGTAATAATTTGTACATTGCATGATTGCATGAGCATAAAAGTGGTGCATAAATCTTAGGACTCTCAACATCATTGAAGGAGTGGACAGAGCCACTTTCTTCACTGCTCGCGGCCCAGGTTCTATTCCTCGTGGCGGATACACCACGGTGGTGCGTGGTGGTGCTGCCATCTACTGCCACGCCCCCCAGGAGGCGTGAAATGAATTTCTTTGCCAAATTTTGAACTTGCATTTATGCATTGTATACACATATGCATGCATTGCATACATAAATTCTTTAATTGTATGCATTTCATACATTTAATTTATGCATTACACATGCATAGCACATGCATTACAATGCATTGCTTTCAATAAATGTTTTGCATACATGCAATACATTGCAATGCATTTACAAGCCGTGTGGCGAAAGTGGGGAAAGCAGGCCACCCGTGGCTCGCTTACTCTCCCGGAGAAATCAACCTAAAGTCACAAATCAAGGATAAATCAATTATCGCCAAATCCAGTCTCAAACCGATCCAGTCGGTCTGGTCCTTACCTTCAAATTGACAAGCTCATCAAGCAGCTACTCGCTAAAATAATCTCCCACTTTCCTAACACAACCCTAACATTGCGAAGTACTGTATTCATTTGTTCTAACCTTGACGCTGCTTCTTCCCATACTGCCCCTTTTACCAGGCTACGACCAAGACCTGTTGCAAAGACCAGGTAAAAAATCGACCAGGTAAATACATCAGGGCGTAAGTGAATCTCCTAGAACATCAATTGTTTGACAAAATAGAGCAAAACGCTGGAGCATAGTAAACACGGATTACGAGTAAAAATGCAAATTAATTCCTTTATTGCATCAAGTAATGAAATTATAATGCAAATATTTCCATTATTGCATGTATTTTGATCGTGTATGCAAGCGTTTCAGATAGGGAAGTATTTGTACGGCGCTGGTCGTTTTGCTTTTTTATACAACTAACTAGTAAGACGTAAAATGATATGTAATATTTAATTATCTGCCAATACATAACTATACATACTCTAATGAATAAATCATTTGTATGACTGAGCAGTGGCGGCGGAAGCAGGGGTACATTGTCCCCCCACAAATCGAGAAAAATCTTATCTTGTCCATGTCAATAAGTTCCCCCCTCTCCTAACCCACAATGCTAATATCCCCATGTGTCACACCGGCTTCGTCGCCACTGTGGCCGAGTACTCATTCAATTAACTTTATCAATTTACATAAGCTGTATTGATGTTTCTTGTGATTTTGTCACCCACGTGTAATCAGGATGGATGAGCTTATCACGAGCACAGATAAGAGTATTGGCAAAGTAGTTTGTTAATTGGACACTCCAAGCCAGAAATTGACACTTGGAATAAGTAGACTCATACATTTACAAACGCGTTAGGGCTCAGCCACATATGCGTTTTTTGCTGCGTGATGCGACATTTTTTGATGCCGCATAAATACAATGTATCGAGTATATACACGTATTGACTGAATTTGTTGAAATATATCTTGACTAATCACAATTGATCCAAATTCAAAGAACGAGCGAACATACTTTTAAAACACATTTGAGGATGATGTGAACTCAATGATGCACAAGTGTCCACTTTGCTGCTTCTCTGGGAGAAGCCGCAAGATTTCGTGATGAGAAACAGGAAAATGAGTTGCGGCAACAAAATGATGCTGCTGCAAAATTATATGTGAACAGAAGAGCAGCAAAAGCTGCGACAGCAAAAACTTCGCGCACCAAAAGGTTTGCTGCCACATTTTTCCCCGCAAATGTGACCAGTGGTGATGCGTGATGTGGCATCAAAAAATGCCGCATCTCGCAGCAAAAGACGCATATGTGGCTGAGCCCTTAGTTTAATTACTTAATCAATCACTCTCTCTCTCCCACTTTGGTGATCACAATCCAGTTCAACTCTTTATCTCAACTTATTGCAAAATCCGTAGGAATATGCACCCGAGGTGGAATCAAATTCCACCCAGTCCTCCAGTCTCGACTAGTGGGGACGTTGAGAGAAGCTGTTCGGCAAAAATGCAGCTGTTCAAGGTTTCAATCATTTTCGTTTTGTCTGCCGGAACCTCCGTCGCGATTGGGAAAGAGGGTAAATAAAAGATAAAAATACGATCGAATGATACCAAATAGTAATTACATTGCAATATAATTTAATCACTATCTTATATAAAATACTAATTAAAATATTAATTATGGTAGTCAAGATGCACACCAGTTCACACATTATATTTTCTTTTCAAATTCATTCCTTTGAAAATTTAATTGTTACACTGTAAATAAAATTTACTCAAATTTACTCAAAGTTGAGTGAAAAATGAGATTGCACAACTGGTTGTTTAAAAATTAACCCGACGCGATTAAAATTTAGTCAGCGTTGTGCAGTTTTCGCTCAACCTTGACTAAATTTTAATCGCGTCGGGTTAATTTTTAAACAACCAGTTGTGCAATCTCATTTTTCACTCAACTTTATTCAGTGTGAACTATTCGTCCATTTTTCGTCCATTCTTTATTCACACTCAGGGGCGGCGGAAGTTGGGGGGACATTAACATTATGAGATAGGCGGAGGAGGGACTAATTAACATGGGCAAGATAGGATATTTCTGAATTTCCGGGGACAATATCCCCCTGTCCGCCTGCTGCTCCCGCCATTGTTCACACCATATAACTACATGTATAGATGAAACATAAACGATTTAAAAATCCACTATTTAATTCATTCTAACGAATTATTCATTCATTCTTTATTCACTTCGGAGAAATTCATGAACGTAAACATGTATGGATGATAGTAATCCAATGATGATTAAAAATAGGAATTACGTAATTATTTTAAAATACAAATACTGAAAATCAGAATAATTCCAAAGTTGTCACCCAGCCGAAGATTCGAACCATGGCTCGCATGAATACATGTCAAGTGCTCAACGTTAAATAGTAATTAGTTGTAATCTCATTAATTTTATATCTAAGATATATATATATATATATACGATTGAATAGTGTTCTGTTCGGCCCCCAAAAACTTTGCTCCATGATATTTTAAAATTTGCCTAATTTTTGGTAGATCAAGAATTCGCAATAAAAAGAGGGAGGACGTTAGCAATTTTCGAGATATCAGCCAAAATGTGCGAGTTTGGTGCTAATTTTGACATATTCTATTTATGGCCAAAACTATCAAAAACCAGAGTAACCAAAAAAGCGCCTTTTTGGGAAAAAATTCATGCCCTTTTGCCGTTTTGCCTTTTTCAATGCCGAATTGCCTTTTTGCGTGCCCTTTTGCCCGCCTGATGCCGTTTTGCCTTTTTCCGTAAGTTTCTATGGGGCATTCCCTGAATACGTTTGCTAAACTCTTACTAAGAGTCTCTTAGCAACTTGGTAATAAACAAAGCAGAGTAGACATATGACTCTACCGTGACGGAATTAAAAAATTTACACCATGTTGGTATAGATTTAGTAATAAAATAAACCGTTGTAACGTTAGAAGTAGCTCACCCTGTAATAACCATTTTGGTATAATTTTTCACCAATGGTGCAGATAAAATAGATACGCAATTTTGGCAAAACTTTACACTAATGATGCAGAATATGCGGAATAAAGATATACTAGCTTTCCCCCGGCGCCTTGCGCCGAGAAATAACAACAACTACACTCTGGTATTTCATTTTATATGTATACAATATTTACACATATATTGATTACTGTGGACGGAGTTCTTATGTAGGAGGAGAGACCCTCTACATGTCCTACTCAGATATTGATGCCCTTTGATGCCCTTGCCTATGTGGGTTCCATAGGCAAGTGATGGATAGCCCTAAAGTACTTCGACCCCATGGCCACATTTGCCCCCTCGAAGTCATGAGAACTGCTAAACTTCAAAAATCCAACAAAAATCCAATTTTGCTCGGATTTTTATATTTATATTTTTATGATCCCAAAGACTTGTGTGATCATATCCAGTAGGAATTTCAACTTTTTTGAAATTTTTGGATTTTCAGGATTTTTGATTTCTGATGGATTATTTGAAAAAAATCAGAATTTCAAAAAAGTTGAGATTCCTACTAAATATGATCGTGATATGAATATGAAGGAATTTTTGGCGACAGTTGATGCGCATGAATACCGGTTTTTCTCGCGCTTTTCATACCTTTGAGGGGGTGTGGCGGGCCCAATTTAGGCCATGGAATTAACCCACTTTAGGGTTATCCACCACTCGCCTAGGGGACCCTAATATGCACAGGGCATAAGATGGTCGTTGGCTAAGAATCCCCCCAATTTCTACCTACCCCTCTCCTCTCACCAATTTCTTAAATTCCTCACTCTCCTCTCACCAATTTCTACCCCTCCCTCTCCTCTCACCAATTTCTTAAATTTCTACCTCTCCCATTCCACTCCTCTCACCAATTTCTCAAATTTATAAATCTAGCTCTCCTCTCACCAATTTCTCAAAAATATTTCGTTTTTTTTAAATATAGAATTTTCATTTTTTTGTTCAAAATCAGGCAAAAATGGTCACCAAAAATTACAAATTTTTTGAACAAATAAATCAAAATTCTTAATTCGCAATTTAAAAAAAATTTGGCCGAAAACGAATATTTATTTGTAAAAATAGCAGGTAATCTAAAAATTGAAATTTTCTGAAATTAAATGATTTCTGATGTCAAGAATGCCTTTAATTTCATTTTAAAATACAAACTTGGGGTATCTTAGCGTTTATTTTGTGGAAATGACTTTGCAAATTCTTTTTTTAAATCAATTTCACAAAAAAAAATATTTCAGCAATTTTTTCGAAAGTATAAAAAAATATTTCGGGGTTTTTAGGAAAATTAATAACCGGATACTTTACTGTTGATATGTACATGTACATACAAATATACATACATACATGCTACACATATGCATGCCTGGCAATGAGCGTTGTGGAGTGAGCCATGCAGTGAGAGAGAGAGAGAGAGAAAGGATGGGAGTTCCCATAAGCTACAACATGGATAGGCATACCCTCCCTTGTTATCTATTGAAAGGTCGTAGGCGTCGATCTTAATAGTAGTGATGTAATTGGGATATAATTTTGCACCAATGTTGCAAACTACATGAGGGAAGAGCAACCATGATTTTGACATCAAACCTTAAAAAATTTGACGTCAAAATCATAAGTGTTTCTGACGGTTCTTCTGCACTTCTGGTGCGTTTAGCATATATTTTTTCGCACCATTTTGAGTCTCCGATTGTTCGATATCAGTGGTGCTAATAAGTCAGTCAGGAATGCCAATAACTGGCTCTAATTAGTATGAATTGATGCAAAAGAGTCGTAAACAGACAGACAGACGGACGGACAAGAGGAATTCAATAGCTCCTCTGCTACGCAGGGTGAGCTAATAACACTTTTTGGTAATAATTTTAACACTAATTTGTGTTACTTTTTTTACCATGTAGTATTGTTTTAATACCAAATCATTACTATCGCGGTGGAGTCATATATGCACTCCGCGCAGTAACGATTCATTAAAATTTTGTTTAGAGTGTATGTGTTAGAAACGATGTTAGCATTGTTAATTGGTAACACTTAACAATGTTAACAGTTTAATTATATTGTTCTAAAACGTTTCAACCTTTCAATTCCACACAAATATGATGATTTACTAACGCACTCATGATAATTACGAACATTTACGAATATTTATATACCTCAGGATGTGTATAATTTGTTTGATGTTGTCTAAAATCATTCAGTTCGCTCAAATGAACATAATTAAATTGTTCACGTATCCTCTACAAATCCTGTGAATTGTAAAAGAAAATAAGTTACATATCATGCGACCGTATGATCACATTGCCCCGATTTTACCAAAAATACAAAAAGGCATTTCGGGCAATCGGGCAGGCCCAAAATCCATGTGCCTAATAGGCAAAAAGGCATTTTAGGCACGGCATGCCTTTTTGCCCTTGCACACTCTGTCAAATACTAGGTCAAATACGACTGAAAATAATTCACGAAATTATTTTGGACGAATTCTTCCTGTCACCAATCTGGAGAGCAGTTTCGCAAATTGTCTAATTTAGAAAAATAATTTCAATTTCTCCTTTATTATTTAAGAAGGCCATTCCGATTCTCTCGAAGCGTTACGATTCGTTCAAGCAATCCAAGGTCAAGTTCCCTCCCAGTGGTTGGAAACTCCCACACATTGGCGAAATTTGGCAAAGGAGGCCATCCTCTCAAAAGAACGGCAAGGTCCACTTGAGGCGGTTGCAAAAAATGGGATTTTCTTTATCGGCGATGGTATGGGATTAACTTCAGTGTCTGCCGCTAGGGTTTTTAAGGGACAGAGAGATGACGGGGCAAGATTCGGGGAGGAATCCTCCCTCCACATGGAGACATTTCCTTACTCTGGACTCTCAAAGGTTTACTCATAACTCCCCGTGATTTTCACTACCTCATTGTACCCCACCATTATTTTAGACGTACTGCTTGGACACTCAAGTAGCAGACAGTTCATGCTCCGCGACGGCGTACTTATGCGGGATTAAGGCTCGCTTTGCCACAGCAGGGTTGACACCGGGGGTCTTATTTGCGGATTGTCGAGGCCAAAACAATACGGACCTTCATGTCTCATCTATAGTGGAATGGGCTCAAGTTGGTCCACCAGTAAATTTGATTCATAAATTTGTCTGTAAAACGTTTATTAATTTCAGAGGGAAGGGAAATCCACCGGGGTCGTCACATCCGGTCGTGTCACTGCCATTCCTGGCGCCGCCAATTGGGCCGGTATTGCGCGACGAAGTTGGGAAACTGACGCAGATGTTGCAGAATGGGGTATGAATCCTGAAGTTTGTCCGGATACTGGGATCCAATTATTGAGAAAGGAAGCTGGCCAGAGGCTAAACGTACTGCTGGGCGGGGGTCGGCATAGATTAACGCCAGTGGAGAAAATCGACCAGGAAACAAATTCACCTGGTAAGAGGACAGATGGAAGAAACATTGCGGAAGAATGGCTCGTCATGAAGGAAGGGCAAACCGGGACGGCGAGATATATTACGGGACGAGATGAACTGATGGGGTTAAATGTGTTAGAGGTTGATCATCTCCTGGGATCCTTTGCAATGTCGGAACTACCTTGGAGTGACGAACTGGAGAGAAATAATGACCCCACGATGACGGAAATGGTAGCAGTTGCGATTAAAATATTAAACAAAAATCCGAATGGGTTTTTCCTTTTTGTTCACGGTGAGTCAAGAAGGCATATTAATTACAATTTTTATTTACAAATTGTTAATCCTTAATCCTTAAAAAATTTAAAACTCAAATTGAACCCTGATTAATCCATAATCTTAATCGTATATCCCGGTTTAGAAAAGTAATCCGATTCTTAATCGGAAGAAAAAAATATATTAATTTCCAACCATTTAAGTTTTTAAAAATTACAATTAAATGTAGAACATCTGAAATGAGTGATGAACATCGATCAAATTTCCCACTTTCTACATAAATTGTTCAATTTTGGGTGGCTTGTGAAATTGCACGTTATTTCTTTGCGTTTTCTTCGTTTTTCTCAGGACTCCTCTAATCATCCATCACTATATTTCAAAGCAATTTTAATTTTTAGGCAGCAAGATTGATAGCGCGCATCACTCCAATAGACCAGGTCGCGCGCTGCGGGAAATTGTAGAATTTGACAAAGCCGTCAAAACAGGGGATGAAATGACGGACGATCAAGATACATTGATCGTTGTCAGTGCAGATCATTCCCACACGATGGGATATTCCGGCTATAACGTGAGGGGCAATCCCATCTTACGTCACTCCATTATTCCCGCGGACGATGGGTTTGTTTTCTCCACACTGAACTATGCTAACGGTCCAGGCCCCGCGTGGACAAATCCGGACACGGGGCTCAGGCACAACGTTCTGTTGGATAACACAACTAATCCCAACTACGAACTGCCGGTTCCAGTGCCGCTATTTTCCGAAGCGCATTCGTCAGAGGACGTCCCAATTTTTGCAAAAGGACCGTATGCTCATTACTTTGCGGGGGTGCAGGAACAAAGCTCGATACCACATTTGATAGCGTGGGTTAATTTAACTTGAATTAATCTATTTAACTAGATTTTTATTTCAAAATCACTAAATTTTTCATAATGCCGTATTTGAATAATAATTTTTATTATTTAAAATAATTCGCAGGTATGCTCTGTGTGTGGGGGATGGTTTAAAAAATAGGCATTGCATTCCGAGCGATGAGACCACTACAGAAAATTTGGACCCAACCACAACGCCGTCTTCTGCGCCAGCCCATGGTTTGGTTTATTATCTTGTTTTATTAACAATATTCACGATCTTCCATGGACGCGGATAATTCAAGGAGATCAATTATTGTTCATGTTTTTGCGAAAATAAAAATACAAGTTTGCAAGCACTAACACGAAATACAGGGTGAATAGGCTAACTGAATTTACTCGTATTTAATCATATTTTCATAGTTCGGATAACAACATTAAATACAAATGGGAAATTTATCATGTGAAGATCTAGTTTTTAAGGAGAATTCATTTTAAGTGAGATAAATGGATGCCAAACCGGGGCGAGAGACCGTGTGATACCGTGAAAGATATAAGGTGGTCCAAATAAAATGTGTAAATAAGGAAACAAGTTGCTAAAAAATACACCGTGTCCTAAAAAACGGTTCCATCACTACTATTTGCGCCAGTAATTCCAAACCCGAGCAGGAAAATCACTGATGCTGTTCAGTACCGAAATGAAACAGTGATCAACGTCAATCTAGGTAACGAGAAATACCTGCTCGCCCCACACTGCGAGATTATTAAAGAAAAACGGAGACAATTCCCAAGCACTGTTGATGGGCAATTTTTGCACAGACAGAGTGTCCGACATATACGTACAATTTTTTTAGTGCGCGTAGTTCGAAAACTGGACAACATAACGTAAAACGGGTTTTGAAATTGCGTTCAGTAACACCTCAGATAAAGCAGTGATTTTTGATTGCATTAAAAAGTTAAAAGCGACTTCACCCTACTCAGTTCGACCCCATGAAAACACTTCCCAAACTTAATTATTCACCTACATAGCATGATAGTGAAAGAGGTCAAAGGTCAAGGGTTTATAACAAATAAATAATTAATAAGTAAAGTATTAAACAAAAAAGGAATTAGGCATGTATGACTTGTACCACCACCCCCACCAAGGCGGCGTTGAAAAGTACTAACTTCGACCGTTATCACTAAAATTATTATTATCAGAAAAATCAACCTTCTGACGTCTATGGAGAACCCACCCACTCAAACTCGGATGGCTCATGAAGCTAAGGCCCGTGTCAATCAGTGGACTGAGAAGCACAATCAAACTGTCGCCGGACTTGCAAAAATTTTTATTATAATTATCCCACGAAAGGAAAAAAATTACTTAGTTGTCACCCTTGACGAAGAACTATTTTCTCCACAAGTTGCAAATCGGGAAAGAAAAATTTATTGACTAACAATGGAGGTCTCCCAACGTATGCTCACAGATTTGAACGAAACCAGTGTCAATCGATCACAAATTTAACCAATATGAAATTTGCAGAAGACACTATCTGCAAATGCGCAGGTTTGGCGGAGATATTTGCATAAAAAGAGGAGAAAATCGGCAAATTTTTCACTCCCATTTTTCTCGAGGTCAACGATTCTCTCGCCCTCGCTTCTCGCTTCTCACGCTCGAAGGTTTCTCATGCGTACGTTGTTTTTTAAATAACTATTTTATTTGTGGATAACTAATTACCCCGAGTTGGATTAAATTAATGTTCCATTAATTTGATTCCATGAATTTTTTATCGGTTAGTGAGGCGTTGGTGGAAAGTTTTAAACAACAGAATTTTCATGATTTTACAACAAACGAATCAATATTACTTGGCAAAATTAATTTCTTGATTACGATTAAAGTGATAGCAAATATTTAATATGCACCAAATATAAATTATATATTAAACTTTCAAAAATAGGTACACTTTTCACAATTGATTATGTGGTATTAATGGTAAAACTCATCGTAACATAAGATTTTATGACACCAAGTACATTCTATAAATGCATCATTGTTACATTCGACGGAGGAACATTTGCTCACATAGAAGGAAAAGCACACGTCTTTGACATTTCGAAAATCTGGTTTTTCCTCTTCGGCCCAGATTCCGCTAGAGAACCAACAATATCTCACCATTGGCTTCAAAACAGGGGCTGACAAGATGCGAAGAATTATAAAAAACGGCTGACATAGGGAAGGACAAAGTTGAATGATCAACTGATGACCGGAAGAAAATATAATATTCGAATTTGACCAGAATCCTGCTCTACAGTACGGATGGAGTCGTCGGAGTACGCAGAAAACCCAGGAATGGTTTGAAAAGTCGAAATATCCAGCAAAATGTGAGACACATTCGAAGTAGGCAAAAATGTGCTTTCGGCAACTCAGGGATTCAGCTCCAAAATTGTTTTTTTTGCAGATAGGGTCAAGGTATGGGGAAACAAATTTTGGAATGGGGTAGCCACGTTGGAATTTATTCATGATGTCACGGCAAAAGAGGTATCCTTAATTCTATTGAAGCGAAACCTGTGCCCTTCTGCCACAAATCTGCGCATGGGTCGCCGTTTCAGCTTCCAGGAAGATGAAAATCGGAAGCATACCACCAAAATCATTTTGAAATGACTCAGGGACAACACGGTAAATGTTTTCATTGGGTTGCACAATCTCCTGATCTCAACCAGATTGATCACTTATGGGCACATTTGAAAAATCGGATGGCTGAACGGAAACCTACAAATGTGTGGGCTGTCAATGACGTTGTCACAGATGAATGGGTAAAACTTGACCAGAATGTTACCAAAAGGATTGCCGAGTCAATACCAAGAAGAATCCAGGTCGTAATTCCAGCTAAAGGAGCCCACGAAAAATATTAAATTGTTAAATTAAACCCTATGATTAATTTTGTTGCATTGAGTTTTCATTTTTAAAATTCAATTTTGCCCGTACTACTTAAAATTAGTCCAATTTGTCTGAAATTTTGCAGATATGAGGACAGATACGTGATGAATAAATGTTAGAAAAATAATGTTGAAATTTGAAAGCCAGCATGAGTCATTGCCGAGAGAGTGAGACTCATGCGCACCCTATGATTAATTTGGTTAGATACTGTACATATATAATTAATTTATATTTATGTAGTGGGCAAATAAATCATGCGAGTATCACACATCACCGAAACCTGGATTGAATTATAATTTGGTACTTATTTATTTTACTATTCGTAGTATAAAAATGTAGATGTAAATTAGATCCATGTGTAACTATTTTTAAACACATAACTATAACTGTTCTAATAATGTTTTTCGAACTTACTTGATGGGATTTGGCTACAAAGTATCAGTAAGTAAAATCTATTCGCAAATACGCACAGTAATTTCTAAGCGAAACTAATGAACTAATGAACTAATTTGAATACCGATGTGCGAGCGATGTATGCAGGGTTTCGATTGGTAAACACCAAATTGACCAGGGCAGTGGGAAAAAGTGGGAAAAAGGCATTTTTACCATCCACCCAAAATAGGTGGGAAATGGGAAAAATGGAAGAAATGGGAAATACTGTGCTTTTGGGGCGATCCGAAACACTTTCTTTAGAACTTAATATTTTCAATATCTGAGTTCATATTCGTATTCTCCATGAAATTCTGAGCAAATAAGTGGGTAATACGGTTAAAATCGAGCAATCTTTAAAATTAGCATGTATTCATATGGAAAAATGGGGAAAAGTTCAAAACTGTTCAAAAGTGGCCGTATTATATACCAAAATTTTCAGAATTTGATGGAGATGACGAATATGAAGTCGAATTCCGAAAATATTGAGTATTAAAGAAGTTAGCTTTCCCCATTACTAAACACATGGGCCGACATTTTTCCCGTTTTGGACGGTAAATACCATTTTTCCCGGTTTTTCCCACTTTTTCCCACCTGCCGTGGGAAAAAATAGTTTTGGACGGGAAAAACGAAACCCTGGATGTATGAGCCATGGGATGGATCCCAAATTTGTCGTGTCGTATTTCATTGGTGGGAAAATTCAAATTAAATGGTTGCCGTCGCTCCAGTAAACCAGCCTGACCTTGACGCAACAAGCTGGTTTCTATTGGGAAACAAAAGTACAAAAATGTGTGTAGGCGTAGGCGTACATCGTGGCGACAATCTATATATATATCATCTCAATAGTTTACAAAGATTTCTGCAATATTTCATCATCAGTCGAATTATCGTTTTTTGCAACAATTTACATAAAAAATAGATAAACGTAAACGTAAATTGCGTGTATTTTATTCAACCTTGACCCAGTTGAAGAGATTGATTGAAGCCAGAGTTCCAGCAGGACAGCGATTGCCTGCCATTTCTAAACCGTTCCACTTACATAATTTTCACTTTGGATGGTAAATTAATCTGGCAAACTTTGGTGGAATCGGGTTTTTGATTTAAATCTTCCCCTTTCAGGCAAGCGCCATAAACCATTAACTTGGTCTTAACTTGTAATTATGAAACTTTAAAATGCTATTCGTAATACATTTCATTTTTAATGCATATTCAAAAGTAAATAGTTTATTTTCCTTCTAAATCGTGTTTGGCTCAGTAGATCACCTAGATAGTCAATAAACTTCTAACTGTATTTATTATCACTACTTTATTATTATAGGCAGTTTAAACAACAATCGTAACATAGTTTGGAGAAACCCATGGTAATCCTGTCAAGGATCAAATACCTCGATATTTAAATTTATATCTGGTTTTTTACCATGCAGACCGAGAGTAAGCTATGTAGCAACTTCAAACATTTATTGCGATATCAAACTTTATGTAATCGTGTAACTAGCCTTCAAAATTAAATATATGTTAGGACCCCGGTCGGAACACGCATTAAGGATGTTAAACTTTCGACAAATTTTCACCCACCTACAGGATATAAGGTCAATGTTTCGTTTTGGACAGGCCAATGTCCAAAACTGTACAAAACCGTCCACTTGGTTGAACTGCTACAACTTCTGCATTATATAGTGTTCGGATAATCTGATGTGTAATAATATGCATGCGAATCAATATGTAATCTATGATTAATTTTTATGTGTTTTTATGGGAAAATCAGAAATTGTACAGATGTATAAATTATGCCGTAGGAACGCACCAAAAATGCTCAAAATGAATAAGATATTTCATAGCCGTCAACATACATATTTCGGAAAAATTAAATAATGTATAACTTGCTACCTGTTGTCCAATTTTCTACTTTGGACATCTTTCGACGTCCACGTTATGGACGGTGGTTAAATCAATAGCCAAACCTTGTAGAAGGAACATATCTTAAAACAGTCTTGATAAATAAAATATACGGTTAGTTATCTTATTTACTCGAGTACTTTTACATTCATTACGTACAGTCTCGGAAAGATGAGTATCACTAAATACATATGTCGGCACGCAATACTTTTGCACAAAATCTACGAAATTTTGCTTTGAATATTTCAGTCTCAAAATTTGGTTCTAAATCGTCTTGTGCAACCATAGTGCATAACTTTTTAAAAGTTCGTGTAGATATTTATACCACAAATGAGTATCTTAGCCAAGTTACTTGTCGTTGCCACAGGATTAATTTATATCGCATTTTGTAAAGAAAATATATCTGAAGAAAATCCACATGAATCCATCCTCACAAACTACGGCACTTTCCAACATCCTTCCCTTAATGGATTAATTTCCTCCATCCCATGCACCACCCACATAATGCACTACAACCTGGATTTCCTTCTACTAAAGCTAAATAATCCAATTGAACCCTTACTCATTTCCGTACTCCCACCAAGCTTAACACTTCCCATGGAATACAAATACCTTCAGGACAGGACAGTACATCACTTCTATTCACGATATTACACCCGCCATAGGAAATTCTGTTATTTTTATATCTTCTACTCAAACCCGCCATGGGATACCGTCACTCTAGGGCTTCTCATGAGACTCTACATACTTCAGGCGCACGAAGAACTCAGACGAGTACGGCAGGAATTAACAAAACAGGATACCAACCAAGCTGGTTATCTTTACGCAATCTTCATTACAGAGAATCAAAATTTCTTCAAAGACGGCAAAGTATCACGACAAAAATCTCAGTATCTGGCCTATCTCAGGCCAGATATCTTTTTACTGTCTGTCATTCCAAATTTCGGATTGCTCTTCTTATCGGGCAAGATGGAGGGAGAAATTCTCTGTATAGCAACAGGGCAAGAATCATACCCAATTCAAAAACAACTAATTTGCCACTCCCGCCCCCACATGGCATTGGTTAACTACTTCATGCCAAGTTACCTAAAACAGAATCAATTCCAGCTTGCCCGCGATTTTCCTGGCTTACGGGAAAACAACCCTTATTTAGGAATGGTCACTCAAACATCAAACGCGGCACTATTCCTACTCATGGAAATACTGGCGCCCTCGTGCAACTTATCCATAATTCCGTTCTGCCACAGTGCACTTGACGAGAAATGCAGCCTACCTGCAATTAGTGCTGGCGAGACTCCAATGTTCTGGGATATGTACCACTGGACTTCAACCAATGTAGTTTTTGGGGAAAAGGACCTCCACTTTCTGACATGCTACTCCAAAAAGAAGACAAGTTTCGACTTGTACATTAAACCTTTTGACTTCTACACGTGGATGTGTTTGTTAGGTTGTGTCCTTCTCCTTGTATGCGCATTAAGTGGCTTTGCTTCCCTTGCATCATTGAATTTGGGGACAAGTAGGCTTGGATTATCTGCCTTGGGTTTCTGGGCCCTTGCCACACTGCTTGATCAAGTCAAGGGAATCAGCGGACTACCCACAAAAGTCTCTGGATTTCACTTACTTCTTGGAGTTTGGGTGCTTCTCGCATCGATCATTACTAGTGGGTATAAAAGCGTTGTCATCATGAGCCTGAACATTCCAGAGACGATCCTATATCCAAATTCATTCGAGGTAATCCTAACCATGATGTTTCTAATATATAATTTCGTGCGTGTTAATTTTAACATACAATTTTTGTAGGACATTTCCTGCAAAATGGCTAATTTTACGGATGCAGAAGTTGATCCAAGGTTTCACGACGTACTTACCCTATTAGCTGTGTTGCCATATTTAGAAAATGGTACTGAATTACGGAAATATTTGATAACTACATCCTCCTGTTTTGCCATTTTATCAGCACCAAAACAAACACCACAACTTGATTATCTTTCCTCCTTAAGTTACTCCTTTTATACAGACATGCAAACCCTTATCCGTTCAGCCAGCGAGAAAGGATTTACAAGACGTAAAGATAAAACGATTAAGGCAATCATAGACCCAAGGCATCGCTCGTTCCCTGTAAAATTCATGCCCCTCCTTAACCTAAAGGCACCCATTATTTCCGTCCCAGAAATCTGGAGCGGTATTCAAGAGGAATTACTACGTTGTCATAAATCAGTCTACGTCGGATCAAAGGAAGACACAGAATCGTTTAAGTACAGCCTTGAGAGGAAGCATGCTTCCCGCATTCCTTTGCAAGTTAGTCGTGATAAATTTCACGTGGCTGCAGTCGGATGGAGGTTTGAAACTGTATCGCAGCATAGGGTTGTCAAGAACTTTAAGAGATTGTTAGAATCTGGGATTTATCATTTGTTACTAGGCTATGAATATTTCAATCATGTCAGTAAAGAATTTAGGGCAAGTGAGGTAATTCCCTTGAAGGATAGTCAAGTCAACAAACAAGTTTTTCGAAGGGTGGGCTTGGATGGAAAGTTTCAAACCATCTTTTTCCTCTGGATGGGTGGGATCATGCTGGCCGTTACTGTTCAAACTTCTGAGAGTATCTGGAAATTTTGGAACGTTCACAAGTAAGGTAATAATTCCAGTAGTGTCTATATTTAATTAATCGCAGTCAAAGCTTGTGCGTAGTATATATTAAAATTAGGAATGGAATAAATCTGGAAATTATTTAATCGTTATTAAAGAATTTGTTTCCTATCTTTATTTTAAAAAAAGTCAGGGAAAGTATTTCTGGTCGCTCGGGGGAACTCGCAAATCTTAAGGCTGATGGATTCATGGAAGGCATTGGATTCCTCTTCTCTTCGTCATTGTTTCTTCGGCATGGATTTCGCACTCACCGTAGTTCAATTGTATGGTGTGGGCAAATTTTATTTAAAATCTACTCCTTTCAATAGATGCATACATCGGAACTGAAAATATCCACAAAGCTAGTGAACAAAATATGTGCAAAAGTTGTTGACATAGGTGCTATTTCGCTTAGAAAACTAAATTATTCAATACTAAACTACACTCATTTTAAGATTATAATGTATACCGCTACTACAGGCATTAGGCCTAATCGAAAATGTAATCTGATAAGCCTTACAGAATTCATAAATGCTTTATTCCATCATCTCCGTTGAAATGCATTTCGAAAGACATCGTCAATATTCATGGTCTGTACAGGTAATTATGTTGCAAGAAGTTGTAAGATTTATTAAACTAAATACCCCCCAATTAATCTAAATACCCTCTTTACATAGTTCAGTGTTTTTCTTTAAGACGTTCTATGGATAAATAACGTCACTATAACTGTTTCATACTACCAAAATATTATCCGTGTCAATTTCAATCTGGGCAACAGACTGACAGCTCCAAGGGACATTGGAACGAAATGAGTGGAATTTTCGGAAGGCAGGCGAGGAAGGATGCGATGCAGGTGCCATGTCTGCTTCCATTAATACCGTTGCAAGGTATGGCAAGAACTTCTGCTTCTGATTGAACTGCAATTAAAAAACATACTTATGTATATAACGCGCGCGAAACTTTTGTGCGAACTTTTTTTAAAAAATTGCATGCTTATTTTTAACCCTGCTATTATCAAAATGTTGCTTAAGGTTGTACATATTCTTCTAGAATTCACAACTTACCCGGGTTCCCATTTGCCCGGCTAATACTGAAAAGAACTGCCAAGCCAAATGTAACCAGAATAATAATTATCTTCATCCTTGAAGAAATTTAAGTTTTACCAAGTATAAAATTTTACAATTTGGCTACGGTTGCAAAGTTAATGTTGAACTTTTTACGGAGATTGTTTTTCTTGATGAATCAAACCCCAACTTTAATTTTGGTTATGATAAGTGAACCTCCGGCCAGTCCTTATATATCCTCATTCTAACTACGTCTGTTTACTAAGAGATAAATAGCAATAAATAGAATCGAGCTGTGTGCAAAATATTTGCCATACCAATCGGTCATTTGCCTACCTAGTGCGCATGAAAAATTCTGAGAAGGTAAGTGATAATTTGTAATCATAGCGTATCGCATATGCAACATATATTATCTACTAAACAAATACATTTACAGATGTATATGGCAAGCCTTGTTTATAATCTATTCCCAATTTTGGTATCGGATTAGAGTTGACAAGGGAAATTCCAACTGAGCAAGATTGTCAATAATAAAATTAACGTTATAAACTACGTATTTACTTGCATAAGTCAAATTCGTGGTATTAATTCGACGAACGTAGTTCATTTCAAACAGTGATATGAGTTGAGTAATTAATCTTATCGGTCGTGCGAAACCACAATCGATAATGTTGGACTAGAGACCGTGCCCGGCTGTCGCCGGTCATAGGATACACTTTGTGAGACCGCTAGTGAGACCGCCCCCATTAATTGATTCCGTGAAATACTTTCTTCAGCGAGATTGAAGCGATTGCATAGTAAGCAACAATATTATTAATTATTAATTAGTGCAAAATTTTCTACCTATAAATATTTCAATGTTTAATTGATTTAAAATTTATTTCAATATGTGGTTATGTAATATAAGTTTTGTATTAATAATAAGAATAGCACGGTCTCTGTCTGTCTGTCTGTCTGTCTATCCGTCAGTGACGAACGCATCCCTTCAATGCTTTATTTGATCAACATTGATGGATATGCCAAGTTAATGTTGACTAACTTCTGCAATACCGGTACATGGTGTGTGCAGAGTTGTCACAAAACTAAAAACGCTCTTTGATGTGTCGAATGAACTCAAAAATCAGCATACACGTGTACGAGCGCTTTTTCTCAAGTTGCCCCCAGTTTTTCATATCGCCGCAAATGCTGACAACAATTTTTGTGACGCTACCAGTAAGCCAATTAAACCGGAATTTGGCATTCTATCCTCATTTCCGATTGGTCACATCGCCCCAGAGAATTGACGGCCTAGGTTGAAATTGGTAATGCTAATTACCTGAAAATTTTGACATTTTTTTCGTTTTTCGAGAATAATTTCGAAGTTTACGAAATGGTAACATTCCCGCTTCATATCTGTACAGAAACCCTATATTTGGCTTCCAATGCCGTCGGACCGAACCTCCTGGCACAATTTTTAAGGGTACTTTGTAGGAAGATCAGTTTTGATCAATATTCGCACAAGTACCCTTAATGCTAAAATTATTAATTACTGCCGGTTCGAATTGCCCCAAGTTTTGGTATGTTATTGAACTTTAGTAGTAGAACAATAGTTAAATTACCCACCCTTCGAAATCGACCTGCGTGACCTTATTTCAGTGGTCTTCAGAGAAGCAAAGTTCTCTGGGGCGATGTGACCAATCGGAAATGAGGATAGCATGCCAAATTCCGGTTTAATTAGCTTACTGGTAGCGTCACAAAAATTGTTGTCAGCATTTGGGGCGATATGAAAAATTTGGGGAAACTTGAGAAAAAACGCTCCCACACGTGTATGCTAATTTTTTATTTCATTCGACACATCCAAGAGCGTTTTTAGTTTTGTGACAACTCTGCACACACCATGTACCGGTATTGCTGAAATTAGTCTGTTTCAAAATTTTGAGTAAACCTAAGTTATGTTTGGGGTTTCAAACTGCAGATACGATGACCATTTGCAGTTTGTCCTATAAGTCAGAAAGTACTTTTTGAATTGTTGTGTAGGGTTAGGTCACATAAATTTTAGGTCACAATATCCGAGAACTTTCCGGATTTTCAGGTTTCAAAACTTTTTGAGTTTTCCTCATGTATAGTGCACCGTACCAAAATTAGCATGTTGTTAGGTTAGGTATATGTATGCCTACGTAGATATGTGTATGTAATTAGTTATGAATCTGTACTCACTCCAGCTTTAACTCTCCACTAATAAATACTCTCCTCTGTTACCTCTCACTGTGTACCACTTATTTATGTATAATCATATATACATAACAATGTGAATGGAATGGAACGCATCACATTCCAATATGTCAACGTTCAGCCCGTTGACAAACCGAATGTGAACGGATCACACTCACATCGAAGTTCAATCCGTTTGCAAACTGAACCAAGTGCACGTTCCTGTCTTAGGCAGAATAACTGTTCTGGTATCAGGCCCGGTTCTAGTTGGGTTATGTTAGGTTAGGTTAACCTAACCAAGCCGTTCACGCCTTTAGCGCTTGCAAGATTTTTATCACCTTTAATTTTTCAACTCTATTTTGTTTTTTCATGCACTCGTTTCAGTTTCGTTGTAAATAATTGTTTCATATTCTAGAAGAAACGTGTAATTAATATTGTATCATTAACTTTATTGTATCATTAACTAGCATAACATGAAAAAGGTCGGTTTTGCACTATGACAAAAGCATGCCGTCAAGTCTTTCAGTAACCCGCTAAGCTGAAATTTACACTATTTACGTCCACAGAAATTTCGTTTTACCAAAATAAAATAATAAAATATTTGCAAACCAAAATCATGTTCTTCAATCATAATACTCTGGGCTGTAATACATCTAAACTAATTTGATCTATTCTGAGGAAATGAAGTCAAGAATGATTTAGCTTAGGTTATTTTAACGATGTTTGCCTCAAAATTGTTAAAATTGGGTGACATATTAGTAGAAATAATTTTAAAATTTATTTTGGACCAGAATTTGGCCACTGCCTCGGATTTGGGCACCCATTTTCAAATTTGCAGAATTTTCCAAAATAATTGCATTTGGCGTATTAATTAGTACACGAATTGTGGAAATTATTTAACGTTACTAACGTATTGTTCGATGATATACGTAATAAATGAAAATCAGGATGAGCTGCTGTCAATTTGGGTATGCAGTAACTGATGACGACTGTTTGCTAATAATTCAAAATTTTGCTAACAACTCGAACGTTGTTAATAAGCCAAAAGACCTTTGGAATGATATTTGGCCACTGCCTTGAATTCAGATTCCCTCTTGACCAATTTGAGTCAAAAATATTTTAAGGTGCCACTTGAGCCAGCTCGAATACAATTAATTGAGCTAAGATTAATTTTTATTATGATAAAACGGGTTCATTAGATAAATTGTTACTAAATCGGAATTTTGTTAATCACGGCTAGACTTGACATACATGAATCTTGCCATGTATAATTTAAGCTCATGACTTTAATGAATGGAATTAATCAAATCAACCCTGAAAATCGTAATGCAGTTAAAATATATTATTTTACTCGGAAATTTGTTCACAATGCAAAAAATTGTTAATAATTCCAAAGGTTGTTAATAATGCGCCGACTTGTTTATTATTGCAATTTGTTTTTGTGGACGCGTGGCATCAAAATTTGCTTCGGGGTGAGTTCCAAAAATTTATATTTTTACACAACTAAACTTTGTCCACCTTAAAGAAACTGAGAAAAATACTCCCCTCAAATTACCCTCAATCCACCATGGCGTTACCCAGTCGTCAACAACAAGCCCATCGTCGCATCCGACACTCAGTCAAAATAAGTGAGAACATATTTCATTTCTGTCCCGTTCTTCAAACTGTCCAACGATCTTAGAAACTCCAAATTGACAGAATTTGGCAGCAGCGAATTCAGAATTTTCCACTTGTGCTTCATAACTCCGTAAGACTTTAGCATTTCACGAATCCCCCTTTTTATTCAAGCGCTACCCTGGCCACAAAACATATAGCGTACGCCTCAATGAAACTACAGGTTATTATTACCCTGATTGTTGCCGAGACAATGAACAAAGAAATTTGTCGCTCTCCCATAAATTCTTTCAGAAAGAACATTAGGCTAACGGTTGCGAAGCTAACGGAATAAATGTGGTGCATGCAAGGACCAATCATTTCCCCTAAGATCTCGCCTTCCACGACGGCCATTACCGTTAGGGTTTTATACAGTTTGACAGAATTTTCAAGGGAGCTTTTGTTCGATTCCTCGGCTGGGTGACAACTTTTTGTTAATAATTGTGAATTATTATGAATTTCAGTATTTGTATCTTAAAAATTATTCTTAAAAATGTAATATTGCATATTACATTCTTGCATGGCCCTTAAGACTCAAATGTTAATTGGCAATCAAAGATCATACTTATTACTCTAATTTAAAATTGGTTAACTTGCTGTAAAAATTGCAATCAAATTGCAGTTTTATTGCAGTAAAATTGGCAATTTTACTGCAAGTATCCAACGGGTATTTTGAATTAGGGCAGAATTGATCTTCGCCCTTCCTTAATCAGAATCATAGACATGGTCTGAGTTAGGCAAAGGTTCTGTATCACCAGTGGTGTCCTTCGGTCAATAGAATTAGATCCAAATTTGATTTTTAGCAATCCACAGGACTTCAGCGTACGTCGGATGATGGATCTCCTCCCGTACTTGAGCGTCGTCCTGTCCAGCTTCTCAACTGATTTGACCGACGAATTGAACACCCATGATGCCAGGGTGAAAATGAGCATATTATTTAGTATTGTATCCATCAGAATTACGGGGAAGATGAGAAACACCGGCATCGCAATTTTCCCATGCATCGTGATTACTACATACTGCACTCCTATTTGTAGGAGTGGGCACCACTCCGGAATAAGCTTTATTCCGGCGCAAAAATTGTACGCCAGTGGTGCCGTTCCAATGTAGAAGAAGCAAAATCCAATGTATGTTTCCAGCGGAGGGATCAGCATGTAGCGCCAGGTCCACCGTAATTCCGAACAGGCGGTCGTCATGGAGAGGATAAAGGGCGGGGTGCAAAGGTCAAATAGAATCAAGCCGAGAACTGCCAATGGGCCCATGTAGTAGCTGTGCTTCAGTAGGTGAAAGAACACAATGGTTGCTTTCAGCTGGGTAGAACTTTCCGGTTTCTCGGCACCTATGAAAATATCAATTTATTTGTACTGTATA